GCTCACCCCACAAATTACACAGCCTCTATCATTTGCATGGAAGACCTGGACAGTGAAGCCAAGATGCAACCTTGTGAAAGTCAACGCGGAGGTGGATGGAGGACTTACCTTTGGCAAATCCTGAGCACTAGTGTCAAATGTTCCAGCTTACACTGATTTGACTTGGAAAACACGTGCAGCAAAGCCAGCGGTCACGGACCGTTGCTTCAGGATCGCATAGCTCGCCCCCACCACTAACTGAATTGTAGTAAAGATACAGGGAATTACCACAAATCAAATATGCTAGGCCTGCTTGGAGGAGAGACCTCCCCCTATCATGTCTCTAAATCCAGATCTGAGTTATTACTGCCATGAGGGCAGGTATGTCTTGGCAGGCCTCCTGTCCAACATTAGTTAGGGAAATATTTCCCTCCAGTTACTATGGCTCACCTCAGACAACACACTGAATATTGGGAATAACTGGAAGAGCCCCTGGAACCCCAGCCCCCACCCAAAAAAAAGGTGAAGAGGCAGACAGTCTTCAGCAGATGAAGTTCTCTGGTGGCTCCCTTGAAAGTGTGATGGATGGTTTTAACCCAGAAATCAACATCCAAGGACAATTCAGTTCAAAATTATAGAGACCTGAAAAAAAAACTGTAGAGGGATGCTTTTTGAAACAGCAATCAAAATAACAAATGTTACATTTCCCTAGATTTCCACAGAATATTTCTTAGGCAACAATGCATATCAAAAACCAGTGTTAGTCTCGGCTCTGACAGAGACACACCTGTGACCTTTGATCTTTGACATAGTTCAACAAGATTACTCATCCTGTTATGCCAAGACAGACATGTCCTTGCCACAGGCGATGAACACTTCTACAGACTACACACAGCAAAACTGCTTAAATGGTCTGCGGCTAAGTCACACTGGATGATGACAAATTTACAGTTGCTGACAGACGTTTTTTTTTCTCCAGGGATGACATGCATACAAAGTCTTGAGGGGAACAGACAAGGTCAACCGTGACAATCACACTTTCATGTCAGCACTGACGAGCCCACGAGAAGAAGCGAGGGCAACATTTACACCAAAAGCCAACGGAATATTCCATTGCGTTTATTAAGCAGACAATTTTGTCCAAAGCAACACACATGCATGGATCAGAGAGCAGAGTCTTCCAGTCCCATGGTACAACTGGGGTTAAGGGCCTTGCTCAAGGTCCTAAGAGTGAAAACCGCAGGATATGATCTGGCAACCCTCTGGCCGTGGGCGCGGAGTCCGAACCCGCAGCGGCGCACGAACCCGCACCACCCACCAAGTTAATAAATGTTAGGTGATAGTTTGGCCTAAGCTCCCTAGTAATGAAAGCAAGACACAGAGTAATTTAAGTCAGCAAGAGCTTACATTTACAAACTGGTAGATACTAAATACACAAATGAGTAAACTAGGCCAAATCGGTCTCTGTTTTGCTTTTGATGTATGTTAAAATCTTTTTGATTAAATATTCTGTGAATCCATAAAACTACACTAGACTTTGTTAGCAGAAGTCTGACAAACACATTTGAACTAAGGAAACATTCAACATAAATAATGCTATTCCTTTTATTATTCTGGGTATTGTGTCATAACCTGGCACTTTGTATCTGGTGCATTATGGTACATTTTTTGAATGTCATCCAGCCCAAAAACTCAGCTAATCACCCTTGTGAGGACACCGACTAAAAAGCCTAATCTTTGAACTGCTGGTAAAAAAAATCTGTTTCTAATTAATTATGGGAAAGTTTCATCTGAGTACAATGTCATATGGTTATCTGGCAATCAGAGAACAACAGGCTGTACTGCAGCAGTACTGAGCAGAACAGCACGATCTTTTTCGGAATTGCCCTGTTACGTACAGTGCGCTGCTGAATTCAAACTCACTATTTGGCCATTTAAGGCTTGAGGTTTCGCACAGGTAAGGAAAAAAAAAATGCCGCATGAGAACGTGCATCTGGCCTTTCCTGAATGAAAGCTGAAGAAAAAGAAATGGGTTGGTAGTTTACAGGCAGGCAAAATTTCTCACATGACCACAACAATGACAACAGCAGGAACTAACTTGCTGATGCCACTATAATGAACAGATACATTTACGGTACTCTACGTGGCTCAGTTTCTTTCAAAACTGGTACTTGTTACAGAGGCCAAAAAAGTAAAAAAAAAATTGTTCTTGATCAGGCATGACAACAGTAAACTGTAACCATAAATACTACAGAGGCATGCAGAACCAGTAGCTAGTAAGGAGGACAAATGCTCAGATTTCAGCCGTGCTGGAATGAGTACAGGGCAGGAAATGAGAACAGAGAGAGCATAATGCTGCTGGATTAGCATTAGATAAGAGCACTTGACCTTTAGAGAGCTCCAGCCTCTAGGATTGCAGGAGAGGAAGAACCACAGTGTGGAATAAAACACATGGATACCCTAACCCTAGTGGAGCAGGAGACTGGATATATCACCGCTCTAAGTCAGAGAGGGACCTTTTCTGGCAGGGAGGAAAGATTAATTGTTTATAACACCTTCTGTCTGTGGGCCCCTGTCTTTAAGCTTTCAGCACTGGGAAAGGGGCGGTTTTACCTGGGGACAGAGGTAGACAGAGCAGCCAGCTAGCTGATTATAACTGTGGGTATATGGTCAGCTTGAAGGCAGACTCAGCACGGGGTAAATGTAAAACAAGCAGCCACTAGCTGCCAAGCCTGGTAGGGTGATCAGGAGAGAGAGAGAGAGAGAGAGAGAGAGACGGACAGACAGAGAGAGAAAGAGAGAGAGGGGCAGAGACTGGAAGAGAAAAACCTGTTTTAAGGAATTTCAGGAGCTGTCAACACACAAGCTGTGAACACAGTGACCCAAAGCCCCCAGTACGTGGGCCTGCATGATTTGGTGGGGTGGGGGGGGGGGAATTGGGGGGTTGGGTAGAGGCTGGCAGACCACAGGTGTGAAAGTGCAGGGTAGCCGTTGTTCCTTATGAGCACGCTTGCATTTCCCTCCCAATTGTTATTTCAACTCTCACACAGCTATGCGCTTTTAAAATCACCTCAGGCCTGTGGAATGGAGAGTGACAGCTCATTTGTGTTTTGGCTAATGCTTCCTCGATGGCAGACGGGCATTTCGGCGAACGTTGGCAGCGAGATAAGGAGGAGGAGGCAGGGAAAGAACCATCTACAGAACCAGGTTGGTTAGATGGTGAATAAAATAACACGGAAACACATTCTAGGTGCACATTAATCACAGCGCTTCGCCGTCGCTGTCACCGTATCACGTCATCCCGCAGAGACAATGTAAAACACATGCCTACAATTTCCATGAACTTCAAAGGTCAGAATTTAGCCTATAAAAATACAATTTTGTACATGAAAGAAGAACCAACAATTAGTGCACTGATAAAAAAACAAAAAAAAACATGGAAGACCAGACTGAACCTCTATTCCACAGGTGGACTTTAGTGGTGTAGGACAACCAGGAATGGAATGTACACATCATCAGCATTAAGTTCACAGAAGCCATTTAGTCACCTATACAATAGATTTGAATGTATGTAATTCTTCAGGTTACACCTATTTTGACACCGTTAAAATCAAGGTACTCCAAAACGACAATCACATGACCACCTGGCATTACATAATAATAGTAATAATTGAAATTTAACTGTCCCATGAATTTTAATGCCCTCTCTCTCCAATTTGTTTTGCACGTGCACATTCAGTGACCCGAGTCACTCACAATAATTCCATATTTAATTGTTATAACAACACAAGCATGAAACTGAAAATGTGACATGCTTTTCTTGTGGATTGCTTACAGTGCCATATGGCTGGTCTGAAAGGAGATGGATGCAATATAGCAGTGTTTCCTAATCGGGTCCTTGGGGATGTTTTTGCTTCCTCCAAACGCCCTGCCAGACATCCACATTTTTGCTCCCTCTAAACTCCCTGCCAGACAGTCTACATTTTTGCTCCCTCCAAACTCCCTGCCAGACATCCACATTTTTGCTCCCTCTAAACTCCCTGCCAGACAGTCTACATTTTTGCTTCCTCCAAACTCCCTGCCAGACAGTCCACATTTTTGCTCCCTCCAAGCTTCTGACCGGAGGGATCAAAAACGTGGACTGTCTGTGGGTCCCCAAGGAACGGATTGGGAAACATCGCAATACAGGGATACTGTCCTTACATTTGGAAACATATGGCTCGTGTTCTAAAGGATCATTTGTTTAAAAAAAGTTTTTAGAAAATTAAAAAGAATCAGCATCATTCACGTTTGCATGCAAATCAGGGAACTATTACAATGAATAGCATATGGGTCTTATGCAATTCCTTTGGTGGATAAAGGCTGCGGTCCAGATTTGCTTTGTTGTATAATCCTAGCAGAAGGTGACTGAAGAGCAGGGGATGAATTGAAAAGGGAAATATTGTAAAGAAAGGGTCATATGAGGCAAGGAATTCACATGAATGCAGAGAGGAGGTAGTAAAAATATCCGGAATCATTAGTGCATATAGATGTACTATAAGGAAGTCGTCTCCCAAACGCAACTCACTTAATGTCCAGGTGACCGTAAATGTATAACATGCACACAAACATTTTGAATCTCAATGCAGATTTCCTTCCCTCTCATTCTAATTAACGTGTCATAGCATGTAGCCGGAAACTGGACAGGGCAAACAGATACGCATGATGTCTTCTTCAGCACAATTACCACAGAGCAACTACATTAAAAATATCCATTAAATGCACATGACTACTCCTTGTTTTCTGTTTAATAAAAATAAAAGTAGAAAAAAATAATAAAAAATATCCATTAAACTTTTGACTTTAAATCAATTTCAAAAAGTGTGCATCCCGGTCACTGTGGTGGGATGGGGGGGGGGGGGGGGGGGGGGGGGGTTTGATGAGGTCATGGAGATGCTGGGAAGGTGCAGGTTTGGCTCTGTGGTGGGATGGTGTTTTGGTGTCATGTGGAGTTAGGCTGGAGGTGCGCATCTCGAAGTCACCTGAAGAGTGGACCTTTCTTCACCAGTTTCTTTGCAGCCATCCAGACACATGTTCATAGACCAGGAGCATTACGGCTCCACCTGTGCAGGGGAAGCGATAAACTTCACAAACGTGGAGCTATTGGGGGGGCGGGGGGGCGCAGATTCTTTAAAGCACGATATTAACTGATATCCTGGGGAAATAAATTTGCTCTGAATTATAAAATTTATGTCCGATGGAATGATCATAATTTCTGAATACTTATCTTCTATCAATTAATCCGAGAAGCTTTTATGAGACTAAAAACAAATTGTTGGCTCAGTTTAAAAAATAATTATCGGCACGCCACACCCATGTTGCTCTGTTTCAACATTATGACTTCTAGGCAAATGATTATTGGGCTCAAGTTTGCAGGCAGGGAATCATACAGAAGTGTAGACTGAGTTGAGATCCACTGGTACAGATCATTGTGAATCATACTGACTATGTCCACTTACCATGTATCAAAGCATGAAAGGCCATATTTTATTCTTAAAGCTACAACTGGTGACAATTGCAGTGTAACTAAATGATAAAAATCAAAGAAAGATTACCTGGTCCAAGTCGCATTATCTTGGGCACCAACCCTTTGTACAATGCCAAGTATCTAGACAAACATGGGTGAGACACAGGTGCATAAGAACTTAACATTGGAATGATTATTACAGTTAATTACACAATAACAGCTGACTCAGAAGTTAGTCAGCTTTGACCAATAGGCTGCAGATTTAAATCTCTTTGGGTTTCCATATTTTCCTTTTTCATACTAGAAAGCAAACACAAACATTAAAACATGACAAACAAAGTGAGATCCTGGACTTTTCAGGAATTTTTAGGTCCTAAAAAAGGACTATTCCGGAAAATGGGGGATTCATGGTCACACTACTAAAGGGGACCTGCTGCTGTATCCATGCGCTGCTACCCTGATCCCCTCTGGTGAAATTTCACAATGGATCACTGAACTGGGCTTGTTTGTTTCCACAGACAGAGATGCCTATGACTCTCTTCTGCTATGACTCTCTTCTGCTATGACTCTCTTCTGCTATGACTCTCTTCTGCCAGCTGTATCTAAGTGCCCTGCCAGTGTGTAGCTATGTCAGTCTCTCGCACTGACAAACAGTAGGGATGGGGGTCTCTGCCCATGTTCTGCTTTGGTATAAGCCAGCCAGTGTTTCGAGGAGGGCGTGGCCTGCCGTCGAGGCAGCACTGCGATCGGTGCCCTCGCTAATACGTTCAAGCTGACCTTGCCCTGCTGCGGCCCCCTACCCCCCCTGCACTGCCGTCCCTCCTCTGATGGTGTTAATAAGGCCTGACCTGCTTCCTCCTCACCCTTCTGTCTGATTAGACTGACCTGCGCAGCCGTGCGCAGCTCGTTAGGGGCTGCTTAACGACGGCTCCCATGGGGACCACTAATTAGCACGGACTGTGTCGTGTTAGGGGAGGAGGGAGGGGCGCTGGCAAACGTGCCACTCTGCAAGCAGCCCCAAGGCCCCCAGCTTAAAAGGGTACAGGTTACAGTTCCACAGACCAGAAAAGGCAGCAAATCACGACTTATACATCAATAAACCAGAATTTCTGAAATTCCTCCCAGGTGACCTATCTAATTAAAGAATCTAAGAGTTATTGCAGTTTGGGGAAGCATTTACATTATAAAACAAGCAAAAGTAGCTCCCAATAGCTTATTATTATTTAAAAGAAATGCAAGATTAGCATGAAAATAACAGTTGTTTGAGCCTGAGCTCCAAAAATCACTGAATAAAAATAATAATAAAAAAACACTGGTAGTTCCGGGGGCCCAAAAAAGCATGTTGGTAAAAAAAAAAAACAGGTTTATCCGTATGTCTGAGGAACAGAGTGACCTCTGACTCACACCTGGCGAGTTCTGAAACCGTTTAAAAGAGGAAGAAGAAACACAGAAAGAAATAATGTCAAAGGGGAATAAATAACCTGCAATAAATTGAGCGAACAGTATTAGGTAAATGCTAATCACGCAAGAGGAAGTGAGGCTGCAGTCGAGTCAGTCTGCCAGAGAGGGCTTTTCCTGCAGACGCAAGCCTCCCAGCTCTGACATCAAATACATTCAATATGTCGCCAATATTCAATTACATCTCAGATGCTTATATGCTAGAGTTATCAGATCAGGAGTCGTGCCTCTAGGGGCTGAACGTAATTCAGTCCAGACGCTTAGAAGCAGCCCCGTGTCGTTTGGGCTCCGTCTGACGCTCCGTCTGACTCGCATTTACTTTCCAGACACAGCGAGGAAAGTCGTGTTAGAAGCTGCAGGACGGCTGTTGGTGGTTGTGAGGAATCAGGGTGTGGGTGTAAACAAACCTGTTTGCAGGAAAACGTGGGTTTATATTTGTCTATATTTGTTCAGGAATGTGGACGGATATAAATCAGATTCCATAGGATTGTGGGTGTGAATGGCCTTGTCTGTATGGATGTGAGATTACATAGAGTTGGTATGAGAGTACAACTGCCAGTGATTTTCTGTAAATGAGGGTTTGTAAACCACTGTTTGTGTGTTACTGCATATACATGTGCTCCTGTTTGTGTGTGAATGAGGGTACAAACAGCTCTGTTTGTGTGTGGATAGATCTGCTCATGTGGGACCAGAGAAGTACTGAAATAGCCCTGGGAGTACATGAGGGAGGGTCCTCACCCCTCTTCCCGGCAGATGAGGCCCATGGTCTGAAAGCAGGTCCGGTACTTGACTTCACCTGGGACTGGCTGAGGACCCTGGATGCGACTCTTGGCCACATCAAACGGTATGTTCATACATGAGGAAATGGTCCCTGAGGTCAGGCCAATGGCAAACTTTCGCAGGAATTCCAACACCGGATCCTAAACAAAGAAAATGAAATAAATGTAAAATGTGCCTACAATAAATCCTTATGGATGCAGTCATCCATCCATCCATCCATCCATCCATCCATCCATCCATCCATCCATCCATCCATCCATCCATCCATCCATCCATCCATCCATCCAACTGCTTATCAGGGTAGTGGGGAGACCAGGATTTTATCCCAGGAAACACAGACCATACAGGATGGAGTCATATATAGCATATTTCCACAGCTATAAACACTCGAGAACTTCCTATGCACATTACTAATTTCTGGAAATTAAAAAAAAAAATCAATTATGCAGTAGTGAGAAAGAAATAGTACAAAGCTTATAACAATCTGAAACGTTACTCCTTATATGTTCTTTGAGTTCTGTGGATACACTTCTGACAAAGTGTGAAAGCAATTATACCAAACCGAAACCATGGTTCTGTTAAAACAGACGCACGCATACCATGCAGTTTAAAGAGCTGCGCTGGGAAGAGGTGGGTTTCAGGTTTAGGTATAAAAACTGGATGCTTAACCTAATTTGTTAGGTAAACTGGTAAATTGTAACTCATTCATACAGTTGATTTTTCTGAATATGAACATCTTCTAAGCAAACGGAATTATGCAAAGCAAACATAATGACTAAACGAAAAAAATGTCCCACAAGGCATGGTTAATTTCTACACCCTGATTTCTGGAAATTGGCAGACGCATATTATGATGGGGTTGGCTTATATTATTTATGCAAAATGATTTATTTTTCCCAGCAGCCTACCTGACAAAATGCAGCAATGAGAATGACAGCTTGGCACTGGTTACTCCAGAGCCTGCCAGCCTTTGGCACTGACGGCACCAACACCTATCGAGCCCCCCCACCCCCCCACATGAAAGCTCTCGCGCACAAACAGCAATCGTAGACCAAGAGTGCAGGGGGGAGGCAGTTGGAGTACGGACTGGATTGTTAAGTCATCGTGAAGGTTCCCTCTGATCATTTTCTGCTGGTAAGCTACATCTGAACCTCTTGAGTGCTGGTTTTGTTGGTGGGTCTAGACCTCAGACAGAACAGCCCAAATCTGATTGGTCAGTCCAAGGCACATGGTTCAGGATTTATAAAGTGGGTTCATGCAGGCAGACTGGGAACGCATATGGGGATAATTTGGGTAATTGGTTTGTGCTCAGTACTAGGGTATTACTGTATCAAGGTAGCCCAGATCCAGAGTGTTCTGACAGCTAATTGCCCAGAGTAGTATATAAATGACAGCGGCCTCCTTAGCCTTGATCGCTCCTTTGTTAGCCAGTGGCTTACAGATGAAGACCTTTAACAACAGACTACCTCACCCAGCCACAACCAAAACAAGACTGAAAGCAAAGAAACCAGTTTCGTCAATAAACTGACGGCCCACGTGAATTCATAAGCACACTGAAAAGGCCCATTCTAACCGCTCAGCTTGATTACAAGTGAAGAAAAGTTACTGTATTGCATGAAAGAGGGCTATATTTGCGATTAGCATGGTATATTCAGTTAAACATAGACAGCATTCATAATCACCTAATCTTAATTGCGTCACAATTTCGTCATGTTAAAAAGAGAACAAGAATCACTTAAAAATCAAGCACCAGAATGAAAAAGGAGGTACCTCATTTGCAATATATCTAAGCCAATGCAGATCCCTTACCTAAGACAAATGAAATAATTCTCTTTTTATCCAAGTCTTATTACCATAGAAGAACAGTAATCAGAGTGAAGTACATCCAGCTTTAGGCTGGGCTGCTGTTACCACCCAGCCTTTCAGTCCCTGTATCGAAGGCCATGTGTGTTCTGGCTCCAGATTTCAACTGTACCCATGTTCCTCACGTACCTCCTTCAGGAGTATGGACACGGCAAGCCGCCGAGTGATTGTGTTGCATCACATGACCTGGCCACCTGACCTCAATACAGTAGGACTGGCCCTGGAGGAGTTTGACCAGAGAGTGAAGGAAAAGCGCAGAGCTCAGCATATATGTGGGACCTCCTTCAGGACAGCTGGAAAAGCATCCCAGGAGGCCACCTCATGTAACTGGTGTAGAGGAGAGAGTAGGATCAGCCAGTGCCTGGAGCAACTGGGGTTAAGGGCCTTGCTCAAGGGCCCAGTGGGGGCATCACTCTGCTGACCCAGGGATTTGATCCAGCAACCTTCTGAGTCCACAGCCACTGGTTCTGTGTATCGAGGAGTCAAGGGTCTAGGATCCCTATCAATTCCGGGGCAAGTTTTATTATCCAGCATGTCAACAGTGTTCAGGATGATATCAGCAAGGGGAATGAATGCAACCTGAACACCGGCTGGCCAATATCCACGTATCCCAAAAATGAAACGGCAAAAATAAGAGTGGCAGGCTGCTGGAATGGTGAGAGACATTTCTCTTGTATTACAGAATTCATAAGATTTTTTTGTGGCATTTTTACCTAGTATTTCATAACACGCTGTTGTACAGAAATGGCCTGTTTTGTTAAAAGAAGGAAGAAGAATAAGTGCAGTCATGCCTAACTGTTACCCCCCCACAACCCCCCCCAAATCCCCCGCCACCACAAAAAGAAATCAAAGTCTGCTTCCAGTTAGATCATTTAGGTTAATTTCATGCTCTGGATTATGTGTATTGACTAGCGTATGGTAACGTTTCCATTAATTAAAATTAACTTTTGTTTAGGAGTCGAGCTCCGCCGGATGTGAAATACAAACCTTTGAGGATATTATGAAGAACAAACGTAGCGATATTTAGTGTGACGGTAATTCTGCAAGCTGCTCCACACAGTGACTGATCCTTTCCCCCCCCGTCTCGGTGCAATTCCGCGTAAGGAGGAAAGGGGGGTCGCCCAGAGCTCATTTGTAGAAATGACACATTTCATGTCCGCTAAGCAACACAGATGAGGGTCTGGCAATAAATCTACAAGGTTTAGAAGAAATCGACCAGAACAGATGCTGCTGAGAAATCGACTTATAATACACACGACAGGTTCCAAGGTTCTCAGACTTAATAAATAGAGAACCCCATGAATACAGGTTGTCGCACTTCTGGTCCTTGAATAGTCCTATTAGCTTCTTGCTGTGCTGGAAGATGTTGAATAGCTTTTGTTCCAATACTGCTTACACATCAATGCGTGCAATGGAAGCTCAGCCAGGCCGGACTCCTCAACCTGGCCGGACTCCTCAACCTAGTTAGACTCCTCAACCTGGCCGGACTCCTCAACCTAGTCAGACTAATTGAAAATAAGTAAATGTTGCTCTACATTATTCAAAAACACTCAAACTGTATAATTTCTGATAATTTCAGATATTTGTGCGTCATAATTCATTAATAGTATTATTTCATATAATAAAAAAAATGCATATGCATAAATGTGTACATAAGTATACACATAAAGGGTCGTATGCATAAATAGCGATAACTACTCACCAAACCTTTTAAGTCTAATATACACACAACCCCACAGTTTCAGACTGTTATTCACAGAGACACAAGAAGCGGCGTGCTGAATACCGCCTGAAGGAGTCTGAGGTCAAATCCCACACCAAACCTTGCTGGGAGGAAACAGGCAGGTTAATCAAGCGTCCAGACTAAACTCTTAGAAGACACAGCAAACAATTCTGAGTGGGGGAGACGCGTGCGCACATGTGTGTGACATCAAGACGGAGGCGTTGGATGTGGACGGGGAGTGGGATGTGCATCAGTGTCGGATGCGCACGGGAAACACAGTGACCTCTCATTAATTTTTATTTAATTTGAAATATAAAACTGAAATATTAATTAAGGCTTTTATTTACACTGCTTGAATTGCCCTTAAGGAAAAACCCTACAACCTAAATGGAGATATTGTTAAAGAATGAGGAAACTGGCGTAGATAATGGAAATAAATGCTTTCAACTATGAAAACTCGTGAGAACTGAAAAGAATGTGCATTTTATCCTAATGATAAAGAACGGACAGCAGACACTTTTCGCATCATGGTTCCCAGTAGACAAGGGGGCCCAGTCAGTAGTTGCCTCCCACTTTCAAGGTTACTGGCTGAATCCCATCCTCACACTGCACTTGTGCTGTGCAGGTTTCCTTCAGGTTCTCTCGTTTCCTGCCACAGTCCTTAGACATGCAGTTAGCCTGACTGGCATCTCTAAACTGACCAATGTGCATGTTTATGTGCCTGGTGATGAACTGGTATTCCGTCCAACGTCAACCAAGCCTGGCGCCCTTGTGGCAGGAACAGGCTCCAGGACCCGCTGTGATCCTGTGCAGGATAAGCAGTTGGAATATGGATGGATTGATTATTGAACCAATTAATAATTAAATGTGTAGGAATTATCACGGAGAGTGGGCTATGTAATATAACTTATACAACTTGGCTACTATAAATCCTTATGGATGGAGTCATCCATCCATCCATCCATCCATCCATCCAGCAATAACTGCTATTGTGTGGAAGCTGCACCGGAAATTGAATGTCCAGAGTAACAGGGCACCTGGTTTGCAGGGATGGCGTCCTTAACATTGAAGTAGAAGCCAAAGTAGATCATATTGAAGACGCCATGACGACCCAAAGTGGAGGTCAGCCCCTTGTTGAGCCCTTGCAGGCCGAATCCGCCAGCATTGATGATGCTACGAGCCTGGGTGAACGTGGAGGGTTGCTGTACAGGGTGAAAGAGCGCAGAAAGTGTTAAGAAGAAGAATGCTGGTCCATCACATGACAAGCACACGTTATGTCATCTATGTGTGTCATGCGCTGTACAAAACAGTTATGCTGATACACATGGGGACACATGGCATTTCTGTATACAATGTACAGTATTTATCAGGTCATTCTTTGTAACAGCAAATTACAAATTGACCAACTTGCATTCATTTATACATTGTTCACAGAAAGTCTTGGGACGCTTGCTTAATTCAGGAAAAAAATATTGCATTTTTCAATTATGACAAAAATATACTGTATATCATATTAAAAAACACCCAGCAATTTTTAGTTAAACATTAATTTCGGATAGTAATACATAGAAACCCAAATTATAGCTCTAGAAGAGCTGTTCTGAGTTAAAACATTCATTGACAAGCATCACTGGGTGCTTTGTAATTAGTAACACCTTTGCAGTAACATAAAGCACCAATCACTTGCGTTTAGTGTCCCTTTGGGAGCCAATGACTACAACTGCAATTAAGAGTAAAATGGCAAGAACAGAACTGAATGAGTCAGTCAGAAGATATGTGCAAATATGTTAAACATTACATGACAATAGACAATGTTATGAAACCAATAAACATTTTTATAAAACTAAGCAAGTGTTTGAAGACTGACTGTGAGCACTGTACATAGAAAAGTCAATGCAGCAGTATGTGTTATTAATATTTATAGATAATTATATATTATAATATATTATAATTTCATGTGTGTAACTATTAAAATAATACTTTTTCTGTAATGGTTACATAGAAGGTCAAAACTCTTGCTTTCTGTATTTTGTAAAAGCTATTAAGAATGGGTTACCTCTTTGAAGGAGTCTCTGTTGGCCTGCAGACTGACCTTGACCACCTCAAACGGATTGACCACCAAGGCCTCAGTTAGGCCTGAGCCCAGCCCCGCCACCGACAATGCCTACGACAAACACAGTGTGACTGGCCAGGTCGCAGGTCCGAGAAGTGGGAAATTCATGTGAAACGCAGGGAGGGAGCAGCTACCAAAGTCACTGGGGAACTTAGAGAAACAGGTATTGTGTAAATTGTTCCTGCTAAAAAAAGAATAGTTAAATAAAAAAGGAATTTGGTATGATTATAAAAAAGGTATTGTGGACAAACTGTGACACTGGGATAAATAATAATAACAGTAATAAAGATTATGATTATAGTTTTCATAAGCAAAATAAGGACCAGTAACTTTTAACAACATAAAAATGAACATTTTCCCACTTGATTTCATCCACAGAAGTGTTTTCTTCTTTGGGTGACACACACACACACACACACACACACACACATTTTATGGCAGGACTTGCATGTGGAAACCACTTGCAAGCAAGGCCAATGCACAAAGACACATAACCTGGTCTAAAGAGCACAAAACCTTAGACCCCTGAGCAATGGAAAAAGTAATTGGCCTGATGAGTCATCTTTCATTCTTCTCCCCGTGTTCGTTTGGAGGAAAGCCAAAGAATGCCTTCACCGTAATGCCTGTTGGTACGGCTAGCCAACGGCTGGCCATCTTGTGCGAGCCATTAGATCCGATGATTGCTCTGCATGGTCATACAACGGCCAGGACATACGAGGCCACATATTGCTGCAAAGACTCTTCATTTAATCATGTTCCCATATTCTAATATGATAACACCACTATTCATAGACCACTAAACAAATTCAAGAGTGGTTTCATGAACACTGGGGGAGAGGCCAACACCTTCCATGATCTCCTCAGTCACAAGCTCTAAACGTCATAGAACCTGAGAGGGAGGTTCTAGCGTGCAGAGTGTAAAAGCCGGTTTTCACGTCCTCCAACCCCCAACTTGAGGCATTTCTTCTTGACGAAAGGCCAAATATGCCACTATACACAGTTCATTACCTGAACAAAACGTGTGCAGACTGTAAAGCTTACATCACAGTTACACTGCAGAACTACGGCACCAGTCACTGATACACAGACGAGCTATAAAGGCAGGAGACTTTATATCACCCAGGGAATCTGGTTTCTGGAACAAAGCACTTTGAGCCCTGCAGATCCAGACAGGCAATGCATGACAGTGGGGTCTTAGGGGCCCCATGGGGGGGTCAGTGGAGTCTTAGGGGCCCCATGGGGCGGTCAGTGCTTCCAAACCTAATTAGAAAAAGAATATTCTGCACAGCAAACATAAACAGCAAAATATAGGACAATAGTTCAAATGGTTGACTTTCCTCACAACCTCGACCCTGTGAATGGTTGTAAGAAATAATTGTATGGATGGATGGATGGATGAAAATACTGAAGCAACAGTGTCTCGTGATGCCATCAGAGGAGGTTCAAAGGACTGTTTTTTTAACGGGCAAAGGCAGAAGGGGGCGGGCTGGTGATTCTATGTGCAGTCAGGCTAAAGATTCAGATAAATCAGCAAAACAAAGGGGAAGCAAGCAAAGCCTGCGTGTGCTAATATATGCAAACCTTAAAAAATAAAGGTTTATTAAAACAAACAGGTGCAACACATAACAAATGATATACAAATAAATGCATGCCATCAATATCGTTTTTTTTCTTCAATTTTGAAGGCTTTCCAAGGAGCAGAAAGATTGGTTATGGGGTGGAGGACTATGTGCATTCACAGAAAACAATGCAACGAGAAACGTCAGTTAAGTAAGTCACGTGACTTTTTGGGTGTCTTAATCCTTCTGCTGTGGCCCAGAGGAATCATCTCTGAAATATGCTTCGCACTGTTTACACAACTTTTTTTTTTTTTGATTCCCCAATAAGTGAAATCATTAATCAAAAATCTATTCAGTGTTAAATACTACAGGGAGTCCATAAATGTCAAGACATAAGAATTTTTTATTGCTGTGTCTCTCTGGAGAGGGCGGGGCCAGAATGTGTCAGGTGATCAGAATGACGGATGGGACAGGTAAACTCTCCACAGTGCATGTCTTTTACCTCTGGCTGTACAAACAGACTGGAGGTGTTTGGCACTACTTGGTTTCTCGGGAATTTTAGCTATAGAGAGCAAACGTTACACTACTAGTCAAACAGATGATTGTCTTCACTGTCTGCTGTCATCATAATAGTTTTAGTTATATGGTATTTGGGATACCTAATAAAGAGAAGCGAATAGACTTTAAGCTTTGGGGAGAACAGCACAGTAAACCACAGAACCAAGAGTTCAGTGAGACCCACCAGACCAGGAGACAATGATGTGAACCCAAGCAGCTTCTTATATTGCTCAAAGGTGAAGAACTGTGGAAGGAGAGAAAGACATATGAGCTGTCAATGAGCAGAAGTAACTTCAGTGTGTACCCTTGACAATCTTGCATTTTGGGCAAACAGACTAAAACAAACTCTTCTATCTGATCTGTAAAACTGGGATGAAATATCAAGACATTTTCCTCAGTGTCATATCTGTTAGACAGCCCCACATATAAATGTTTTACGGTTTTTAAAAGTCGCAACCACCTAATACCAATATCAAAGCTGTAAATAATCCTGGTAAGAAAAACCTTAAACTGTCTAAACTGATGAATGCTAAAAGTATAGACCCCCTTGTCCATGACGTGCATTACAAAAACATAAAATATACCTGCGATATTTTGCAGTTAATCCTCAAAATCTGGTGCATATTCTAAGATTAATATACTTAGTTTTCTCAATCAGCTCATAACCAAAATTGATATCAATATGTAAGTGATTTCTTTTGGTTCGACGTGCTTGATTTCCCAAGTATCACTTCTCTATGCTATCTAATAAATGGCAACGGAGATGCTAGTGGTGTTGCAGAGGGAGTCTGGAAATTGTTGTGTGTCAATATTGAGCTTCAGTTCTCCTGGGCAAACAGACGCCACAGGAAAACAGAATCGACTGTCATTGTGCATTTGGTCCCTGTTTATTCCCCCATTGCGGTGGTACTGCGGTTCTGAAACCTAGACCTAAACCACAAAGAGTACAGGGACCTAAACCACAAACAGTACAGGGAAACCCAAGTCTACTCATGGCATGTGCCACAGTCAGCCACAGCCAAATGCGGGAAAAAGTTTCAAAATAGGAATCACCTTAACTGCTCTCTTTGGGGTCTCAGCGAGGATTGGGGGCAAGATGCCTTTGTAGAAGCCATATAGCCTGTTGGACATAAAGTAATATTATAATATTACTGCATTGTATAATGTAACAGTTATCAATTCATTCTTAGCAATTCATGGGAAGGCAAATAAAAAAAACACATTCTGACATGTTTAAAACCTTGCTTAGTGAATTTTAACTTAACATAAAATAACAGATGTGGTTCGCAACTGAAACTATTTTTTCCACTGAGAATATAGCAAAGCAATGCAGGTTAAATCTGCAGATCCTCTATTGAGATTTTAAATTCTTTAAACACAGAGCTACCTGTTGGCTCTGCTGTAAAAGGAAATTAAAACCTCCTGATGAATTTCCTTCCAGAGGGAGAGAAAGGGGAGAGCAATTTTTGCCTTGCTTGTCAACTGATCAGTGCCATTTTATTTGTTATGGCATTTCTGTGTGAGCAGCTGGGTTTACGCTTGCGATAGAAAACTGTAACAAATGAACGAACAAGAAAAACTTGTGACAAACTGCAAACATACTGCCTGTCCCCAAAGAAGAAACCTCAATTAAAAGGGACAAAAAGACAAAAGTGTAGGGCAAGAAAAGTGATTATTCATGCTTACGTGTGTGGGACATACAGTCAGCAGGGCACGGAAATAATTATTGTGCTGATGACAAATGGCAGAAAGTGACATTGAATGGAGTTTGTTTAATTTACAACATTCCTGAAAAGTCAACATAAAAACAGTTTGTTTTAAAAGTATAAACACTGAAGTGGGGGGTGTCGTCAAAATCATAGGAATTATTACCTTATATAGTATATGAGTTATGTGGATATAATTTTGACGTACATTTTCCTGCTATATTACCGAATTTTGAAGTCAATATTCAAATTGTAATAAAAAATTTACCAACTGTCTTGGTAAAAATGAAGATTTGCATTGTGCGAAGGGTGTGTCATTATCGGAAAGATGACATTATCGACGGCGATGAGCACACTGCTGAATTCTGCTGGGTTCCAGTTACCACAGAAATCCCCACCCACTGGCCTTTGTCTGCGCCCCATAGATTCCATGGAACTGAAGTGTTGTGAAGTGAGATGTTCTTATCTTAAAGATTGTTTTAGGCCTGTCACACAAGAACTGGTAAAACAGGTCATAACATTTAAACAGGCACAACAAGCTACACTTTTCAACGGCCTTTAAACAGAAAGGAGCCTTAAGAGTGAGGATATTTCGCCGTTTTGTTTGCAAAGGCACGGAGTTCGGTTTTGCATATTCAGCGTCTCCTGCTTTGCACCAGCAAGCTGCGCGGTCCACAGTGCTGATCGGCAAGAATCGCGAGCGTGTACAGCCCCGTCTTAGAAAACGATCAATCATTACGATTAAAATCTTTGTTAGGACAAGTGCATTGAAGATGGATGAGGGAAATAAAACATGGAAAAAAAGCCTTGCATATGTGAACAACTCAGCTTCTAGTTACTAAACAAAGTGTGGTATATGTGGTCAATAGTAATGACGTAGTGAAACAGGCACCCGACGGTGGCCCGCAAGTCTCCACAAGTATCTGCTTCTGCCAGTGCTACTGTGAACTTAATCCCATACACAAGGAGGATTGCAGTACTCTTGAAAGGGGGACTTTGTGAGTTGGCTGGCAGTACTTATTTATCAGAATTTAATCTGACAGCAGTCCCATGTCATAAACTGCACCCCCCCCCCCCCCCCCCGTCCCCCAATAGTAGCATAGTGCTTAAAGAATGGGCTTAACTTTGACGAGGCCATATCAACTGCCAATTAGATGCTAATATGAAAAAAAGACAACACTGTATGTAATGGAAAAAGAAATGTTTTCATTTAACAGCTCACTGTATCTATTATTTAAATGATCCGTGGTGTTTGACAGCTTGGATACAGCAGAATTGACCAGGATTATACATTCAGTGCTTCTGTAAACTATATAAAGAGTCAGGGAAAGGCAATCTGATGGTATCAGAGGGGCATTCAGCAACCTGATACAGACACGCTGCTTAACAGATGGGTGATGCAGCAGGGATGGACTTTCAAAACACACGGGTCCTGCTGAGACCTGAGTAACAATAGCAGAGCACTGCCTAAACAGCGCCAGTGGACGTCAAACATGCTCAACTGGAGACGACCTTCCTGAACGCAGTCGTTTGACGAAACAGATTATTGCGTGAGGAAGAAAACAAAGAAAATATTTTTTTAGAACGAAACTGGAGGGAAAGGTATACTTGACGCAAATGTATGAATGCAAATTCACAGTAATATGACAATAAGTGAATGAGGTTAGGGAGATCTCAAAATCTTAATAAGTTGGTCAATGGTGTGTATGTGCTGTTGGGCCATCGAGCAGCTTGGAAATTTACTACTACACACACTTTTTAAATTTTCAAGCGTCTAAACCTTTTGTGCTATTTGTACAGCTGGACTGAGCTAACAGGTAGCGTAGCGGTTGTCGGTGTAGGTCCCAAATGGGGCCTTGTCATGCCCTAAAGCAAGGTACTTGACCTGAATTGCTCCAGTAATACATACAGCTGTACAAACGTGTAATTATAAGCCACTTTGGATAAAAACAATCAGCAGAGCGACTAATTTAAAAGGCACTGACAATTCTCCATGCTGAGATTTGAATTCTGAATCTCATATCGGTCTCCTCATTCACTACATAATCTACAGACCAATGTACTGATTTAACCTCTCTAACATTTAGAATGCAGTGCTAGAATGCTGTTATATTCTCTGGTCTTATGATACGCTTGAGAGAAAGGCATCTTCGCTGATTTGTCTCCATACATAGAAGCCTGGGGTGGGATTCCTTCTTAATGCTATGTCGTTCGTAACTTCTACGTTAAAAGACAGAACTTAGCGTTAAAAGACTGACGTAGCATTAAGAAGGCTTTGGGAAAGTCACCCCTGAACATTAACACCTTCCCACTGAATTAATGGATTACATAGCAAATATTCACTTTACTCATAAAACCACACTGTGCGTGCAGTATTGCTGGATACTTTTTTTGCATTATTCTGAGGATGGTTGAGCAGAATGAATTTTGTATTGATATTGAACACATGCATGTAGATAGAGGACACAGTGTGGCGTGATTGCTGTTATGAACCCCTAATGCTCTATTGTGGAAACACATCTCAGAAGTTGCTGGAGATGCTCTTGTCTGATTGGAGCCAGGGGTAAATATTATTGTTTTTGCAAAAATGATTTGGTGATACCTACGCCAGGTAGATACATACATACACTGCTTAACTGGACCCACACCAGTACGATCCTATGATCGATAGATCATTACAAAACCAAAAAGTGCTATCTAAGGCTTACAAAGTAAAAATTGTAGACAATGTCGTTAGGGGGAGGATTCCAAGATGACCCTACAATGAAGAGCTGAAGCTGGAAGCGGCAGGGTTACTGCTAAAGGACAGAAGCTCTTCATGCAAATTCACCCCACAGATTTCCTGGGCGTGGCTGCGAAAGGATTCATCAGGTGCAAAAATACACCTTAAATTTGTTACAGACTCATTTGAGGTAACCTAGGTCAATTTGAATGTGCTTTATTTGAATCCAAATCCTAATTTGATTTTAAATGTAAAGTACACAGGAATCCCCCCGCAACTTTTCCTAGCAAATATCCGTCTCTGATTGGGAGCTCCTGTAGACGCAGCTGGACGGAGGTCCGACATCTCCTCCTTAGATTGGCTAATTTGTCTCTGATTTTCCTAAAGCAATATATTTTTTGGTCCCATTATCTTAGTTCAAATGCATTTGATACCATGTTACAGACTAGCACAGGAAATCTGAAAACAGCACATTAGGTATTAAGTTACATTTTGGTAGATAAGATATATGTGACTAATGAAACTCAAATATAAGTTCAGGACAGATGTTGTACTCTAGGGTCTTATCTTAAGTAGTATCAAAGTAGTATAAAAGCATAAATATATAAAACCATCCTGCATACTTGCTAAATAAATGCTACATATTGACATGCTGTGGACAAACACATGGAATTACTGTATAACTTGAGTTCTCCCAAAGGAAGCTCAGAAATGAATTTCTTTGTTTCTTAAGCTTATAAAATCTGCAAGGTTATCTCTGCATTACATGTAACCACACAGGAAAGTCAATAAATGGGGAATCTCGTTAAACGTTAAAAAATGGGGACGCCCAGCAATTCTGCTCAGTCTTTCCTAATTTCTTGAAATTACATGAACACAGAGAAGCTGAATCTGCTGTCACTTTCACAGCCATAATCTCTCAATCCCCAGAAATACAGTGATGCATTGCTTAATGTCTTTCCACACAAGATCCTGTCATCCCATATGGTTACAATAGAGTTTGAAAAAAATCCTGATTGGCTAAGGGGACAAAGCAGTGGTAAGCGGCTGTAGTGCACTGCATGGTATAAACAAAGTAACAGCACTGTCAGCCGCATAGTGCTACAGTGTCACATATCAAACCTCTAATACCCATAATACTTGATAGCAATAATAAGCATCTATGTTACACGTTTACGTCATTATTTTCATGCATACTCTCTCTCTCTTATACAAAGTGTCTTAGCTATTTAGGCAGTAAAGGTACAGTGAATGTGCAGTATACCATACATATATGTATACAGCGAATATAATGTTCGTATAGCATCCAACTCACCTAATGTCCTATTGGACAGAACATAACCTGGATATTAAGTTCTGTACCTGTATACTTCGAAGTTCAAGCTCCTGAAAAGCATCCAGCACTTACACACATGGTGCATCCAAGACCCAGCAACTTAACCATCTACACGATTCTGCTTAAAGACCGAGCCTTATGGAATACACCTTTTCATGTACACTCTCTTAGGGCAGCTTCTAGCTTATTAACCATCAGTATTTTTTTGGAACATTGAGAGCATAACTCGTCGTTTGCTTTGGTCTGATGAAGAAAAGCGAAATGACTGAACGGCAGTGAAATTGCATGTTTTTTGTATTTATGCAGAGAGGCTGTAAGAGAGGGTTCAGGACAGTTCTTGAGGCACTTAATCCCCA